CTGCATCAATTAGTTTATTTCAATCCCTCTTAATTGCCCATAAAGCCGAGCTTAGGATCGCCTTTCAAAAACAGAGCAATTGCTCCCTCCACTGGAAGTAACCGACCATTACATCGGCGCGCACAGATTTGCAGATGACACGCACGTTGAAAAGAGAACACGTTAGAGCGGTTTTCTGCTTTCTTTCTTGACGGTCAGCTAAGATTTGACAGACTGATAAGCTGCTCTTTTCGCTCTCTTACCGAAAAAATTCACATACACAAAACCTGAAAGCTTAAAAAGCAGAGAACGCAGAAGACAAGGTGAGGCACGTGAAATGCAGAATCATGGAATCAGAGGGGTTTAGATTAAAAGGGGCCTTTGAGACCATCCTGCCTCCAGTTTCAGTGTCCTGCCAGGGTCAGATACACCTTCCATTAGACCACATCAGGCTGGATGGGGCTCTGAGTGTTCTTGAACACTTCCAGGGATGGGGCATCCACAACTTCTCTTGGCTACCTGTTTCAGTGTGCCACCACGCTCAGAGGGAAGAATTTCTTCCTAATATCTAATCTAAACCTACTCCTTGTCAGTTTGAAGCCATTCCTCATTTTCCCATCACTCCATGCTGCAGTAAATAGTCCATCTCCATCTTTCTTGTAGGCTCCTTTCAGGTACTGGAAGGCCCCAGGTCACCCTAAAGCCTTTTCCAGGCTGAACAATCTCACAAACAATTGAACAATTTCCTCAAAGGAAAGGGGTTCCTCCCTCTATCATCTTCATGTCTCTCCTGTGGACTTGCTCCAACACATCTGTCCTGAACATTTTCAGACTTGGTAAAATACCCCTATCAATTTAAATACAAGGAATCTAAAATTAAGAATGTAGCATTTTCTGTACTCCCCCTGCAGTGAAAAGCAGGAATAGTTTTTAGCAGAATCTTCAGCACAGGGATCTTCCTTGCAAAGTTTACAAAAGCCGAACAGTGTTGAAAAAGAAAACATTCACATGAAGTACAATTCCAGTGAATGTAAAGAGGCAAAACTTTACCTGATCTAACAAGTAAAATGTTGCACATCTGTGCACAAAGTGAACTTCAATCAGGTCGAAGTAACTTCCGGCATTTGGTACATACAAAAACTTCCCCTCATTTCTCAAATACTATTAGAAAGAAAAAGTTGTATTCCATTGGCACTCTCAAAAGCTTTACCTGTAAAATTGCTTAGCTACAAACACATCCTCAATGAGAAATTACCCCTTGCTCAGGCAGACAGGGATGAACTTGGTGACTGCAAGGCCCATGCTTAACACCAGTAACCCATCTATGCTGAATAATGAAGCTGTAATGACACAGGTCAGAAACCAAGTGTCTTCTGGCTTTTTATCAAGTAAAGACATTTCAACTCACACCACTTGTTTTCTTGGGCACTTACATTAATATTGATGATATCTAGAGCTCTCAGTTGAGAAAAGCAATGCCTTCAGCCTCAGCTCCTGTTGTTACCCATATCAGTGCTGCACAGACTCAGAATATCAGCTAGAATGTGCTCAAAATCAAAGATATTTCTCCTGTAAGTCCTGTACCACCTCAGCAGCACTGAATAATACAGATATGATACCGTTAAGTGAAGATTTAGAATCCTGTTAAACAGGAAAAAAATTAAGCAAACATCCCACCAAATGACAACAGTTTTCCTTGGAAACAAACACATAGCACGCAAACATAAAGTGTTTGGTCTTCTCATTAAACAAGTTGGTTGCCCACAAAACCAAGCTTCAATATTCCACAGCCTGATCACTCAGGAAGGATTTTGTAGCTGCCCTCAAACAAAACTCAAGCATACCTGGAGGAAAAATTTCTTGTGCTAGGAAAAGTCCTGGAAAAAACATTTTCAAGAGAATAGTATGTTGCACTAATCACAATTAGGTTTATTTATTGATTAGCTGGTATGGTTCCAGTAGAAGAATTATGAAGTGTTRTTTTTATTACAATATATTTTRAAAAGCTTTGCTCTTCAGCACATAACCAAAAGTCTGGGACTGTTTGCAAAATGAACTTCAATGGCATTTTATTGGACATGAAACAACTAATCCCTCAAAACTGAAAAAGAGGCAAAAAAAGAGACTAATAAAATGTCAAGTGTGATAAATAGTTTAAGAACATTGCTACACCATAAACTAGGACCCCTTACACCTGGGAAATACATAAATAATGTTACATGATTACGGTAAGAGAAGAATCCACCAAAAATTTTATTTTAGGTAGCAAACAGTGTTTTATTGAGAGTTCAAGCAGTTTCTAATTCTAACTGCACAACTAATCACTTTTAGTTACAGCATTTTAATCCTCAGCTGACCTCAGACACACTCTGTCATGACACAGCAGCAATTCCAAGTTTGCTTCCAGAGGGAGAGAAAAGCTCATACAAAGTACTACTATGACCAGAAGCCTGAGGGATGTACTTCTAATATCAACATAGAGTCTAACCAGTAGTACAGTTTTTTTTTAAAGCTATGACTTCTACTTACCTTAATGACAAATTTGTTGGATGCCATGACAGGTCAGTGTAAGCTGGTCCTATAAAAATACCAATTAGAAGTGATCAGCACTAGAGAAACACCCAGATATCTACACGAACTGAGAAGGATTTTACATTTGTGGCTCATTTCTTCATTACTGCTATTCTTCAAACCCTACACTCCACTTTAATAAAAACAAGGAAAACTCTTATTTAAAGAGGAGAATTATTCAGAATTACCAAACTTGTGTTCATTTCTTTTAATGAATCTCATAACTGTTCAGGCACTTTGCATCCAACACATGAAATTAAAAGTTAGAACTCTTTTAAATAAGAAACCATAGCTTTTGGCTCACCTGCTACCCATACATACATGCATGTTATGTATATGTGAAATTTTAGATACTACACACATAAAGCAACATAACCTGAGTCTTACGATGGTTGTACAAAAGTAAAGTGAACTTTAGACATCCTCTTCTTTTGTTTATCCCAAACAATACCTAAAATGCTTATTTTAGGATGCTGAATGAGGTAAGTTGAGATGCACAGGCCCTGACTCTTACTCAGACCATTCCAGGTAACTCAGGAAGCATTCATTTGTGCTAGAAGCTAAACACATGCTCCTTGGGCTCAAGGAAAAACCCTCCATTCATTGCTAAGAGTTTTTTCCAAACAGTCACAGCACTGAAGCTACTTGGGAAGTTCATCATACCCCACCATAAACAGGAGCCAAAAACTGACTTGTAAAAAAAAGAGAGAAAATTAGGTTAAATTCACAAAAGTCTTTCCAGGTAACTCCACTTGGTATTCAGGAGTCACATGCAATGGACCCTATGATACCAAATTAATATCTACAAAAAACAGGAATACAAGAACTAAGACAATCTATTTTCACATAGGGCAGGAGGAGAGCTAACAGAAACAGAGACTCAAATTGGTCAGGTGAAGCAGAGTCTCAGTAAAGTGGCAGGAGATAGAGTCCCCAAACAATACAGTTCAAGCTTCAAAATAAAGAAAGAAAATGAGTATCAGTGGCTGCTGTCTGCAATTAATGAACCACAACAGAAACCACTGAGAATAGAGCTGCCTTTTATAGGCTGAAATTTCCTAAAGGATTAGCCTCTTTAAATGGACAAATCTGGTCAATTTTGTAGGAGATGGTATAGGAAAATACTAAAAATTGACACCTATGTACACATTTGTCATTGCATACTTCAAGTTATTGGTAAGTACTGTAACAGCTGTCAATATTTCAGAACACAAATCACGTTGGGGATGTGTGTCTCTGTCAGGCACTGCACTTACACGTTTCAAAATGCAATCATTACCATTATTTAACTTCAAAAAAGTGCAAAAACAGATAAACACCCACTTTACAACTACACAGCACAGCACAGATGATTTTGATCTTAAGATTCTTACAGTCCTGCATACAGGACCTGGAATACCATCATGCCTTGTGCCATGCCACTGTCATTCTCCCTTGCACCAAACAGCCCAGTAAACTTTCATTTTATCAGATTAAATCCTCTCAACTTTACTGACCGCAATGTCTAGAAACACAATGAAAGGAACTGTTCTCTGGACCACTTGGAACATCCTAGTTCAGTCATATATTAAGTGCAACTCTATAAAAGTAAATAGAGTAGAAAAACTACATGAAGATTCAGTAGGAGATAAAACTCAGGAGCTGTTGAAACAGCAGTTGCTAAAACTCGTTCAGAAGAGCTGCTGAAGAGGAATTGCAGCCACCAAGCGAAAACCAATGGAGCTTCTCAGTTCTCTGTAACATTGCTCCCATGGAACAGTATTTGGACTGCTAATCTTTTCTCATTAATCCTTACAGTAGCAGTAACATAAAAAAGAACTGCAGCAAAACATGCCAAAACATCACCTCTTCTCTAAATGCTCATGTTGTGTTTGAGAACAAGCAAAGCAAGTGGATCAATCAACTGAACTCACCCTGGCATGACTGATCTCTTTCTGGTAACAATTTACCTTCCAGAATACTACTGTTGCAACACCTCTAACACTACTCAGGTGAGAACTGCTGGCTGGCAGAAATCCCCTCCAAATACAATTTACAAAATAAAAGAAGAAAAAAATAAAAAAGGAAAAAGACACACAAGAAAAGTTAGCTTTGGCTCAATTTGCTCTTCCTGGGAGTAAGCTGACATTGGGAGTCCGCCAGCTACCCCATTCTTTGCACTGACCACACAGATAAGACAAAGGAAAYACAGCAGACAGACAAAATGTAAGCAAATCCTTAGAAAACAAAAAAAGAAAATATTTTATGAGTGAACCATCAGAAAAATCCCTGAAGCAACACAGGTGAAAAAATACTCAATACTAACACATCAGAAGATAAGGAAAACTGCTCATCAGTTGCCCAAAAAATAAAAACAACTAGCCTCAAAATAATTTGACATTTCCTATGTTAAAAAAAAAACAAACAAACATCAGAAACACAGATCTATTATAACTGTTACTGTTGGATAGCAAGATTCTATTTCATGGAATGCTTTTTCTGTTGCAAACCTCTAAAGCAAACTCTACATAGGGAAATATGAAGATAAGCAAATAAGGCAGAAAAACTCCTCTCTCAAGACTATCTATATATACATTTTTTTAAAAAAGAAAAAAAGTCCTGATGTGGTATGTGTAGTACTTCAAGACCTAAAACGTTGATAAAATCTGTACAAGAAGACGTTATTTAGAACTAAACACATAGGTTGCCTGTAGATAGAATGAGACACACTTAAAAAATAATGTGATAGAATATCTTTCTTCCCTAAATTTGAGCCCAATGGAGTGGCAGAGACTCAGGAGAAGCCAGAAACATGGACACCCAGGGACCGAGTTGGAACATCCTCTGCCAACTGATGAACAGCATCTTACCTTAACAAAGCAGCTTCCTGTGGTGAGGAAATTTAGAGCTCAGGAGGAACGAGGAACTGAAAACTCCTGTTACACACCTCAAGATACAGCAGCAAACTTCACACACTGCCATCTCCGGGTGCCTTTACCATGTGTGGGGAGAGGGGGCACCTGGAAACAGAAGAAACAAACACTAATTAAGGAACTCTGTATGGTAACTTAATATTAACTACTTTTGTAGTTCAAAATGAACTATCACAACATATAAGAGTTTTCTACACTTTCCAGTCCAGCACTTATCAGTTTCTGGGAGCAGATCCTAAGCTTGGGTTGAGTGACAGTAAAGCATCTCTGATTCTGGAAAGACATATCAGAGTCTTCCCATTTTTGCCACTGGGGATTTTTATGCTGTTGCTGATTACCCCAGTACGCTTCCAGCCAGTCAACACCTTTTCTCCTCTTTGGTGGTCACACTCCTTCATTGATAACTGCTCATTCACCTTTAAAGTTCAACAATTCCGTTTCAAAAACATGACCCACTCACCACAGAACTGCCTACAACTAGAGGATGAGGTTCTGAGGAACATCAGAGGGCTGTCACAGGCAGGTACTGTCTTTTTGCACTGGTAAGTGCCTTTTAAAACTTTTGCGGAACTGAATGCAATTAATAATGAAAAAAACTATACAATGAAAAAATTATACTTTCTGCGTGGAGATCAGGCATTAAATACTTGTCTTTTGGCCACAGTTATAAACTCTGCAACTATAAATGAAACTGAAAACAAACCCATTCATTAACATATGACTATAAAACGAGATATTCTTGACAGCGACTGCAGGAGTACGGGTAGAGAGTCAATACACGGAAGTATTACGGTATTCACAGGAGTATTTGTAGTACTTACAGGAGTGAATACAGGAAAAGTGAATACAGGGAAAGTGAATACAGGGAAGCAGAAGAGCTAAGGAAAAGCCGAGATCAGGGAACAAAGGTATTTGAACTTGTTTTGGCCAAGGCACTTCTGCCCGCCCACAGGAAGCCTCAGACGGCTGGGCGCAGGTGTAACGCGGAGTGACTGCAGTAGCAGGTAAGCAGGGGAAACGAATCAGATACATATATATATATATATATATATATATAGAGATAGATAGATAGATAGATAGATAGATAGATAGATAGATAGATAGATAGATAGATAGATAGATAGATACACATATTTTTAAGCGCGGCCAGTGCGTGGCCGAGCAAAGATGAGGCGCAGTTTAAGGCACGGACAGAACGGCTGAAGCGCTCTGAGGAAGGCTCGGCAGAAGCCAACCGGCACCACCGCCACAACACCGGCTCTGCCCGAGTATCCCCTTACAGATTTAACAGGGGAACAAAGCGGATCGGGAGCCCGAGGCGCGGCTCCAAGACCCGGGCGGCACAAGGCGCCCGTACCTCTCCCCCCGCCGCGCCCGCCTCCCGCCACTCCTCTCCTCTCCTCTCCTCTCCCCTACCCAAAATGGCCGCGCCCGTCGCCGCCGCCCGCCGCGCGCTGCCCGCGCGCAAAATGGCCGCCAGCGGCTGAGGCGGGCCCGGGGCAAGAGTGACGCGGCGCTCGGCTAATGGCGGGCGGGGAGGGGCGGCACGTCCGGGGTCGTGCTTCTTTTACTTCTTGTTCTTCTTCCGGCCGGGCCGCGTTTGAACGTGAGGGGGGCGGGTAAGTGTTGGTTTCCCGGGAGCGCTCCTGGGCAGTGCTTCCCTCGCTCCCTCCCAGAGCGGGGAGAAGCCTCAGGTGCGCTGTGCCCGCGGTCTGTGCGCGAAAGAGCCGCTGCCCCTTCAGTTGGCGGCTCTTCAAGGTCGCTGGGACGCGGGGAAGGAGGAGGAGGAGGCTRTGAGGGCTCCACAGCGTGATGGAGGGGCTTGTTCCACCTGTCAGGGGCATGGAGTTGGGTGGGTGGTGGAGAATTTCCTCTCCAACTTGTAGCTTTGTAGCCGCTCAAACCCGTGGAATTTAAAACCTGAGTATACGTGCGTTTTTTTTCTTTATGGAAGTAGGTACTTGGTAAAGAAATACCATGGAAAGCAGTGTTTTCACGTTTYTTGTGTAAAGATTAATTAATTCTCTCAGTAATGCTACAGCTTCTGAATACCGTAAGGTGTTCAGGCAGAGCTGCGCAAAGGTAAAGTGGTGTCAGAAGCATCACACCTTGCTTTGCTAGCAATTTAAAAGTTCTGTATTCCCTTAGAAGTTCAGCTAGTCATTGAATTTTATTAACTATCTGGGGTGGGAGGGGAGGAGGGAAAGTATATTTTAACSTGGTTTTGGGCTTCAGATGTTTACCATCTCAGTAGTAGCACTTGTAATTAGATAAAGCTTTGTTGTGCTTAAGATTTAGCATGCCAAAGCTCGAAGCAAATGCAGTAATTAGCATTTCAAAATGTCTGAATTGAGGTTATTTTTTAAGTTCACAAAGTAAGGCTTTTTTTAGTGTTTTAGGCATCTGCTGCGCTGCAATTAAAGATATTAGCATTCAGCTTAATCTGTTCAATGTTATTATAGAGTAAGAAAAAAAGGATTTCTAGAGTGTGTTTAAAATAATAAATTATCTTTACCTAGGTAGATGCCAGTTTGCAATGGGTCTTAAAACCTTCTGGAAGGACAACAAAGTTCTGATTATTATGGGAACTAGCCTTGGGCTGGTGCATTGGGGCTGGTTTTACGTGAAGTCCAGTCCTATTTTCCAAGTGAAGACAGAGGATTTTGTTCCAGAACCTGGGATTGTGAGATACATGATGCAAAGTGATGCCAAAAATAAAGAAMAATAGCATTAGTACTTTGTTTTTGGGTAAGTTGCCTAATTAGTTGTGTCTGTGTCTTTGAGGGAAGAGATTAATTAATTGAGAGTTTTCAAACAGATAYATCCTTGGTGTTTTAATTTGGGCTTTCAGACTTTTATTCTTCTTTGAAACTGAGTTAATTTTTTGTGYCTACATGGACCCAAAAAGTGCATTATAAATCTCATAACGTACTACTAAATCCCATGTGATTGAATCAATTAAGTGAGGGTGTTATATGCGATACAGTTATTTAAAAACAAGCTCTAGTAACTTCAAGACAATGTCAAATTCTTGTTACTGGATCCATAACAAGGTACTTTCAGGCTCAAAACTACCCAGAAATAATTGTGACTTTACATGGTAGCACATTTTGTGTTAGTAAGGATGAAGATTACAATAGAGAATGGAACAAAATGAAGTGTAAGATAAGTGTAAATGCAGCAGAGATTGCATGGAAATGTAAACAAGCATCCCTTTAGGTTTTWGTGTTTTAAGAACTGAAAAACTTTCCTGGTGGGCATCTGGAAATAAGTCCTTGTTTGAGCCAGATTTCTTAAAGAAACTCTTGTTTTTGAAGGGGTTGCCTGGCAAGCATTGCTGACTAATTCAGTTCTTTTGTTATTGAGTAAAATCAGGTGGATCTCACTCTAGTTTTGATACTTCAGTGCAATTCAGTGATGTTTATAATAGCCCGTTATCTGTTGACCTGCTGGTAACAGTATAGATCAGTGGTCAGAGTTGAAATTATTAACAAACAGTTATAATTTATGTATTGTCTATGTTTATAGTAAAATCATATTAGTAGATTTGCTGAGTTAAAAAAGCCTTATGGAATATATAGGCTGGTTGTATGAGGTTCAGCGAGGCCCAGTGCTGTGTCCTGCACTTGGGTCACAACCCCATGCCAAGCTACAAGGAAGAGTGTCAGGAAATATTCCTGGGAATGCTGGTGACAGCAGCTGAATGTGAGCCAGCATGTGCCCAGGTGGCCAAGGGAATCCTGACCTGGATCAGCARTGGTGTGGCCAGCAGGACCTGTGTCYCCTGTGCTCAGCACTGGTGAGGGACACCTTTCAGAGAGGATATTGAAGTGCTGAAGTGAGTCCAGAGAAGGGMAGTGGTTCTRTGAGGAGWGGCTGAGGGARCTGAGGGTCTTCAGCCTAGASAAAAGAARGCTCRRGGCACCCCCACTGCTCTCTACAAYCACCYRRAAGGCYATGTGGGGGTCTGTGTCWTGTTCCAAGTAACAAGTGGTAGGACRAGAGGAAAYGGCCTCAAGTTGCTCCAGAGGAGGGTTAGATTGGATTTTAGGAAAACTGCCTTCCCAGAAAGGTTTTCAAGCACTGGCACAGGCTGCCCAGGGAGGTGGCTGTTGCCATCCCTGGAAGTGTTTAATGGATGCATAGATGTGGCACTTGGGGACATGGTTCAGTGGTGGCTTGGCAGTGCTGGGGTAACAGCAGGACTAGATCTTAAACGTCTTTTCCAACCTAAATGATTTTGTTTTGCAGTATTTGTCCTTAWGTGACTTTTTTGGTGAAAACTAAACTAGGTCAAGCTATAGAATATTGTCATAAGATTATACTAATRCCTTTCTGGTTTTTATTGTAGATATAACTAATACTGAAGCTTTTCATCTGTGACTGTTGCCAGAAAAGATGAAGAAAACTACCTGGAGTAGAAAGAACTTTCTGCTTGTAGCAGGACTGTCACTTATTGGTGTCCATTTAGGAAGCATGCTTGTAAACCTTGTTGCAAAAAAATCTGCTCAATCTCATTCAGAAGCTAAAAGAGACCGTCATGAATGAAATAGCTTCCTGCTGACACTATCGGTTTTGCAACATGATTTGAAGCTCATTTTATGAGAGCTGTGATGACTAGTTTCAGGAATATTGTATGTACTGTTTCACACTGAAAATAATAATCCTTATCTGCAAAGAATCAAAATGTGATATTCTTAAAATGTAAAAGTGCAATGAATTATAGATCCAAGTAAAAATGAATTGTTTTGTTGGCTAGAATTAAAATCTTACCTTGAAAATGTCTCGACTYGAAGCTAAAAAGCCTCCATTATTTATTAGTGAACCTTTAACTAGAGATGCAGTGAGTCAGTCGCTGTCTCTGCTGAGTGGAATATTAAAATCTTCCTATGGTCCCKCTGGTCGACTCAAGCAGCTCCACAATGGTGTGGGGGGCTGTGTTTGTACCACTTCCCAATCCTCAGCCCTCCTGGGGCACCTTTCTGTGAGCCAGCCGGTGCTGCGTGTCCTGACAGCCTCTGTACAGAACCACGTGTCACGTTTCAGTGACTGTGGCTTGTTCACTGCCATTCTTTGCTGTGCTTTCATTGAAAACTTCAGGARCCTGAATGTTGCACCTTTCACTGTCATTAAAATAAGCAAGCATCTTCTGAGTTTGTGCATGGACTATCTGAAATCTGAGGCTTGTGCTTGCCGGGTGTCCGTGGATTTTAGCAATGTTGAGACTCTTGTGTGTTTGGTACGKAGCATTTTAACAAGCAAACCTGCTTGCATGCTTAATAAAACAGAAGTTGATCATCTTACCACGCTGGTTTTAAAGGCTTTTCTATTTACCATTCCATGTCATGTTGAGASTAATGCTGTTTTAGGAAAGTGTGTCATAGTACCTGTGAAAGGCACAAGAGTTGTGGATTCTACAGTTCTTCCTGGACTGCTGATAGAAGTACCAGAAATCCAATTGGGAAAACCACTCACTGTCAAAAGGACTGGTTCAAACACGATAAAGACTGCCCTTTTCAGTGTGTCCATGGCAGGAGACGGCTTTAACCCTGAGGAAGGAACCATAGCAGTCCATCATGGAGTTTCTCTGGAAGTGTCAGAGCTGAATGAGTTGCTTAATCTAGGGAAGCAGCTGGTTAAGGATGAGGTGGGCCTTGTAATGTGTCAGAAGGTGATGCATCCCTGCTTGAAACAGTACCTGAAGGAGAACGGTGTCATCGCTGTGGACAGGGCTGGGCTGTGTCTGATGGAGCCCCTGGGCYGCCTGACAGGTAACAGGAGAGTTCTCTGCTCTAAACTGTTCTGAAATTTTCATTGAGGTGAACTTATCTGGGGTGGTATCATTGCAGAGTAAGGAGTCTCTTACTTCCCTCTGTATCCTACCTTWGCAGCTGAGCAAGAGTTGTCTTTTCTAGCCTGAAAACCAATTTTCAAGGTGAGATTGGTCTCCTGCAGGCCCTGGTGGTGGCATACTGCAGGTGTTACTACTGCTTGCTGCAAGAAAGATATCCAATTCCAGTGACTTTATTTTCAAACTCTAATTCAAGGCAAATGAAACAATTTTCTTTTTTTTTAATCTCAAACTACCAAGTCTTGCACTTTGAATATGTTGGTTTCTGTTTGTGATTTCCTGTGTGAATTGAAATGTCAGGTTATTGACCAACGCATATAATTAAAAAAGCTAAGAGGAATAAAGTTTATRCTTTATGAAATGCAGCTGTTGTGATGTTGGTGCCACATACTGTTCTCTGCTTTCCTTAATTGACAGGTTCAAAGCCTATCGCTTCCATACATTCRTTGTCTCTTGGCTGTTACGGCAGTTTGAAAGATTTGTGCTTTGAGAGTTTTGCTTCAAAGCATTTTATACATCTAATTCCTGAGGACACAGTTATCTGCAGCTTGATACTCTGTAACAGAAGTGAAACAGCGTGGGATGAGTTGAAGGTAGACAAATTTTCCTTAAAACTTACCCCAGAAAGTCATGTTTTTAATGGAACAATAAAGTACTGAGAAACATTAAATACACTGAGTTTAGAAATGTATTTTTTTCAGTACATAAATGAARTTTTCTTGTTTCCAGAACTTCAAAGTCTTTGAAGTGTTCATGTTCATTTAATGCCTCTGTTTTAGTACAGGAGGTTWTTTGGGGACAGACACATCTTTCACCTGTTCTTGAGGCCAGTGCTAGATAAACACTTTCATCCTCATTACTTAGTCTGTGAGAACATAAAAATTGCCTAGCAAAAAGCCAGCAGCAGCACATAAAATGATAGTCAAGCATTGTTCTCCATTGAGCAGTTGGTATGAAAATGTCRTTGATACTGATTGACTTTTTATATATGGTCCTGTTTTGCAAAAAGAAGGAATAAAATGCAGTTCTTTATTTCTGTTTTTCCATAGYGTGGACAAATAAAGACAATTTCTCATTAAGTGAGACGGTTTTGGAAATCACTCAGCAGCTTTATATCCACATGTAATTCAGGTTTATGGAATCTGTACCAGAAACTACTGAAAATTCTATTCCAGTGTTTTTTTCAATGGGGCCAGATCGTGTTAATCATAGTATGTCTAACAAGAGTTTCATATGATTTCCAGCGTGTCTGTGAAACTGCAGAGCATGTGTTACAGTTAACAATGAAGGAACCTTTGGCATTATTAGGAGGAGGCTGTACAGAAACTCACCTGGCTTCATACATAAGACACAAGGTATGTAAGACAAGAGTTTTTAAAGTTGYTTAATATACTTGAGAAACAAAAATTTATCTATAATCACTGCAGCAGTTAAAACATTTGTCTYACTAGATTAATGTGGCATTTTTGCTAGTACTAGTATAGTAGTATAGAGAACTAGAACTACTAGTATAAAATAAAGGGGTCTGTTTGAAGCACTCAGTTTTAATTATACCTTTTAAACTGAATGCTGTATTTGTACTTAATCTTTCTTTAGGTATCTATTACAGTAAATTGCACGTTTTTAAGTGTTAAAAATAGGTAGAGTTTTTATATGGAAAGATGATAATGCAGAACTCCACTTTGACTCTTTCCTATTGTGGGATAATCATGACTTAAACATTCTTTTAGTTAGAACGGAACCATCTGTTTTGGAGGGGAAAAAAAAGCAGCAGTATGATATATGTTTAAAATAATTTCTGTAAAAGTGTTCTAACTTGGCTTTTCTGGTTTTGGTTTCTTTTTTAGAGTTCTCATCTGCCTGCCAGCACTTTTAAAGACCTAGATTGTTCTCAGACACAATACCAATTGGTTGTTGATGGGTTTTGCCATTCCCTGGAGACTGTAGCTCGCTCTCTCGGTCACAATAACGGAGAAGTTCTTACAGACATGGTTTATGGACATTGTTGGTTTGTTCCATCAGGCTCTCCCTGTGTCTCAAACTGGTCAGATTTAGTTTCAAAATGCGGCTGTGGGATGAATAGTAACACAGAGGACCTCAACTGGAGGTTTTTGCAAGGCCAGTCTAGCTCTCCTATTATAGAGAGCTGTCCGAAAGAGCCCTCAGAAAAGGTTACTGACCTTCTAACTCTGGACTGCTTTGCTGCWAAGTGCAGTGGCCTGCAAGTAGCTCTGGAGACAGCCAACCTGATTTTGGATCTTTCATACATAGTTGAAGATCAAAATTAGCTCTGATCTTATGTGATTTGTGTTGCATAGCAAGACACTAAATTGAAAGCAAGGTAAAATATCATGTTTTAATAGGTTAGAATGTGGACAAGAGACATTTTAAATTTAACAGTTGGCCATTGAATATTCTTCTCATTGTTAATCTACTGTGCTCAAGCATTTTCAAATGTTCAGTCTGTTCCCTCTGCATTGAGGAAGRTTTTGGATGTTTGTTAGCTCTGTGGCTAACATCTTCAAAGGAATATGGAGGATGGATTTACTTGCTGTGAAAACATATATATATTAGAATTTATATAGTCTCAGCAAAAGCTTTACACATTCAAATAGGCTTTTGTATTGCAGCAGAACTTTATCACTGCTATTTTTAATTTTGTAGGTTAAAAAGGCTTGGCTTAGCAGATACCTTGAGCCATTTGTTTTTAATTTAGTTCTGAAGTTTTTGTCACCATATACAATATGCATTTTCTGTTTTTAAATAGCTGAAAGATTTTAATTTATATATGTAATTTATTTAACAAGTTATAAAAACTCAACCTGGAACTCTTAAGGTAGCAGGTCAGTAATGGATGATTTAAAAAGAAATGGTAGCCTGGGTGGAAAAAACTTYTGTCAAGTGGACCTTGATTGCCTTCTGGGGAATACAGGACAGCCTGTAATGAAGTTTCTATCATTTAAGCAAAGCTGCAAGAAGGAATGTCCCACTTACCATTCAATTAACTCTTTGACTGTGCGTGGCTTCTTTTAATGAAGTAAGGCTTTAAGGTCTCAGGCTTGTTTTGATCTCCTAATAACACTGTAGACTGTATGATCAAAACTTTTTCTCGTTCTCAGCTTGCATGCAAGATCAAAAAGGGTGTTACAGTTTCTTACTTAAGCTCATTTTCTTTGCCACTTTTCTCTCTTTGTTTTCAGTCACAAGGGACAAATTATTCATGGTGTGTTTCCAGAAAACATCCGAGTCGGTTATAGTCTGCTTATTTTTTTCCTGTTTTCTTAAGTTTTAAATATGTACTGCATATAAGCAGTAGAATTGTTTTGTATAAATCAGTTTTGAAATATGTAATTAAAAGCAGATCTTTCCAGACCYTTTGTACAAAGTCCTTTTAATTTTAAGAGCATAAGTAATCATTTTCTCACTGGGAAGAAAATGAAGAGTTATTTAAAGTTCTTTATCGTTTTATGACCTGAAATGATTGCTTTAGTGCTATAAGGCATCCTTTGGGAACTTGTGGAAGAATGTTACAAGGGTTGAAAATGGAGGCTGTTCAAAGCTGGTTACTAAAAAGRCTGCTTTTATATCTTGATCTTCCCATATGCCATGAACTATATGAAAACATCAGGAATAATGAAGCCAAATGATGGTGTGTATCTTAAGGCACAGAAGAATCTTGGTAATACTTCATCTAATTACAATTCTCCAGCTCAGAGTGCTGAATTATACTATTTTACTTCTCATAATAGCAGCTTGTTATGCAGTGTGAAAATGTTGAGTTCAGTGACTACAGCTGTGAAGTGAAAATTAAAACAATATTCAAGTGGAAGTAGTTATGAGTGTTCTTTTGTCTTGGTATCTGAAGGTTGGATCACAGCTCTTGAATCCGAGCTGACAATGAGTTTTACTCTTCCCCAATGAAAATCACTGATTAGAGAACTGAAAAAATTAAATTTATGTTTTGGTAAGTAGCTAAAAATTCATTTATACCTGAACTAAAGATTGTTTCATATATAGATAATTTTAATAAAAATGAATTTTTGCCTCCCAATGTGACTAAATAGGGTAATTAAGCAACTTGCTCTGCTGTTCATAGAGAGTTCCCAGTTGTACTACAGTATACTTGAACCTTTAGTGGTTAGTGTTGCCTCATCTTGAAGATGTAACACAGAAGGAGTAAAACTTTGGATACTTTCAAAAATCCAATTAAAAAGAATTTTACTCTCAATTTAAGAGCAATATAAAGTAACTTCTCTGAACTTTCATGTTTTCTGATAAAATTTGGGTACAAAGATGGTTGGGTTTCCCCCTGTGATTTAAAGTTGACAGAATGAAATATCCTCAGCTGTAATGCCTCTGAGTAGCCTCTATGGTTTTATTCCCATTCCCCTTGGCATTTGAAATTTGTTCAGGAAAAAATAGCATTACAAAAGTATTAAGAGGCAAGTGTTTTCTGATCATGACCTCAGTCATGTCTGATTTCCACAGATTGCTCAGAGGCTATTAATTTAAACTTTAATCTAATGATAATCTAATCATTCTAATTATAATGCCTAAGAAGTACGAATATTCATCTCCAGCTTTCTCATCTGTGTTCGTGCTCCAGGCCTAGAAGGAGAAATAAAGAAGTGCTGATATTATAAGTCACTCAGGTCACCATATTTAAGTAAGATGCACTGTAGTACAGCTGCTCCTCAGTTCAGTATTTGTTTGGTATTTCAGTTTCCATTTCATATTTTAAACTTCAAAGGGAAGATGAAAATGCTGAATCATTTAGGGGTCTTTATTTCTATTACTGCAACCCCTTTCACCAGATGCACCATTAAATGTTCTCTTTTTTGGCATTGGTTAAGAATGTATAATACCTGGTTTTCATTGATTATGCTTCTTATCTGTGAATCTGTAGTCCTCTGAGCCATATTTTAGGTCTTTTTCTGTCTATTTTCCTATCTTTAAAATGGGAATAAAGATTTATGTATGAAGACTTCTAAGATCCAGATGTAAAGTGAAATGCTGTACTTGCTGTACAGGAACAAAGAGATATTTTAAAGTAACTCAAATCCTTGCTAAAATATTAGAGTAATTTCATTGTGAGAATTTTAACCAGGATTTATGTAGACTACTTAAATTATTTTGCTGGGAAAACATTACTTTTTTTTATACTGAACATGGATGCATTTTCTTGTTCTCTGAAGTTCCAGCAACAGTATATCACTGTTGCTACCAGTAATCTGATTTATTACTTTACTTCTTCAGTATGCACACACAGAAATGTGACCTTWAAGCTCTGTGCAGGAATGGTTGGAATTCAAGATGAGCAATGTCAGACAAGTCAGCAATCCTTACTGTATTGTGTCTTCAGAGTCTGTTCCACACTTCAGAGTGGATGCTGATATGATGCTAATCCTTGAAGACAGGCTAGAAACARATTTGTGGGCTTGGGAAACCTAACCTTGCT